GGGGAGAGAATGTATGTGATTGGATAAAAAAATAATCTGCAGACACTAGGACCATGGTTTCTATACATAGTGTCTATAGAGATTAATAGATATACAAACTACATGTAGTTTCTAGCATTGGCACTGCCCTTATGGAGCAAGTGTGTTAACTCCTCTGCTATAATAATGCTATAATACCTAGCATTGCCAGAGCTTGGCCCGCATACTGGTCCTCTACTTCCAACAAATGGTGGGGCGTGATTGGTTGCCCTGCTGGTGGCGTTCGAAGGCTCATCCGGCACCGTTTCGTGCACTTTAGCTTTGTTTGGTTCCCTACCTCGCACCGTTTGCTTGCTTCCTTCCATTCCATCCCCCCTCCATCCCGCGCGCCTCGGTCATCTCGATTTGGCCTCCCCTCATGAGCTAGGATGACTTGATTCACGCATGGTGCATGGCCCATGTGTTAGACACCAAAAACTCTGATGCATGCATGCAACCAAACACGATCTCGTATCGTACTAGATCAACAATAAAGACAACAAAACATGACAAAGTGCATAGTCTCATCGTGGCTGGGAAGAGCTTGGACAGGCTCTCCATCCTGGCTCACCGACCTTGGAGGAACCAATCATGCCCTAAAGGTTGGAGGATGAGGGCAACCACGGCACAGGCTAACAGAATCGTTAGCCTCAGAATAAAGTGACAAGCCACATAGATACATGAGTTTTGAAGCCATCAATCATACATCGCATACTCCTCTTGTTACGTCAAAGGCTCTGCAGGTTTACGGTTTTTGTTGCAGTTTTAGCATGTTTCTTTTTCCTAGCACAGTTTGCTTTTTTGCCCCTAATGCGCGTTCTTGAGTGGTGGTTTCAACTTTTTGTCAGAGCAAGCAACCGTTGCCTCTGCAAGCTGCTATGCCATCCCACGAAACCACTACCCAAGCTGATTTGAACTACTGTTGCAAACGTGGAGGCTGGGGCTACTGGCCATCTTGGGGCGTTGGGGAAGGCCTGAGCACAAATGGAGGGGGGCCTGCGGTGGGAGTGAGCTGGCTCTCCTTTTGTTGACCAGCTAGGCCGACGTGGCAAAGATGTGGGCCCAACATCGTCATGTTAAACAGGCATCTTCGCATCCACGTTGGACCAAACCACTGTCGAAACAACTTTTTTTTTTTTGAAAAAACAAACTACTTCAAAATTAGTGCGGCAGAGGCAGCGGCACGGAACAAACTAGATGATACCTCGCGAGTTAGTGCGGGATTATAGTCCAGCACAGGAGACAAGGGATTCATGAAGGGACGATTGATATTTACCACTCACAATGATGCCATAGGGAGTTATGGAGAAATTGAGGGTAAATTTCAGATAAACAAATGTGAAATAAAATGTCATGAGAGAATGAGGGAAATTTCAGGTAAAAATGGTTAAAAAATATAAAATAAAATGACAGTATTAATATAATGTGTTACTGGTTAACCTTTTTAAACAACTGTTGTACAAACTTCATCGGTTAAAAAGGTTAACTACATGGAAATACGCCAACCCCATTATTGTTCGTTGGCTGCTTCTTGATTTTAGCTCAAAACCTCGAGCACATGGAAGATGATAGTGATCCATCTTCAGTCGCTGCTTTAAAGGAAAAAAAATTAGTTTGTCAAGGTCAACATTATTTTTGCTCTGAATTCAATCCAGGTGGGAAACTCTTTCCCCGTAGCTTGCATTAAAAAACGTTATTTTGGCTTTGTCATTTTCTTTTGTCGGCATCACGTGTTGAAGATAATCTGGTAGCAAAAGAGAATCAAGTAGCAGCAGCCAAGGGACACTCCTGAGTAATTTCAGAATATGTCGTCAACTTCTTTCGAAGAACTATTGAGTCAGGACTATCATTCATGGGTTCACCTGATGATAGGAAATTGCAAAATAACAAGGAAAATAATACATATAGTATATAGGAATCTTAATTATTAATCTGAATAAGTGTCTTGGTGAGGCGGCAAACTCCACGCAGACCTGCTACCTGATGTTGGCAGCGTGGCCTAGCGTAGCTGGAGCCAGTCTCGTATCGCAGGCCCCGCCGGCGGCCCGAGGAGCTCGCGTGCCTGCCGCCGCGCGCAGCCGGCCCGTCATCTGCCATGACCAGCCGAGGGGATATTCCGGCCTGCGATGGTGTTGCCGCGCAGCCACTGCTGAGGCCTCCAATTGGGCGACGATGCCGATGTAATATTGGCCGGGGTGGTAGCACTGCTATAGTCGTTCTACGCAGCAGGCGCTGTCTTGCTCTGGCCCGATGTGGTGCTCAACAGATTGGAGGCGAAGTTGAAGGCGTTGTGGCAGCCACCATCGTGGAAGTACATGCGTGAGGAATTGAGGATTGGAAGCTTCTTCCTGCTTTGGCTACCACCGTTTTCAGGATGACACTTCATTGGTGGGGAAGCGAGACAGATAGGAATACTGATGGACAGCAATGACTGTTCAGTTTTCGTGCACTAAAGTGTATTGATGTGCGTGGATGCCTGGATGGGAGAGGATTGGTGGGGTTGTGGGGAAGTGAGAAGACGGATGCAGGGAACTGAGAGGCACGGGAGTTATGGTGGGGAAGGAGTTGCTGCGTGGAAGCACAAAAAGCTGAAGCTGAGGGTATTGCCGTTATGTTCTCACATGAAGTTTCAACAAAGGGATGAAGCGTGGGCCCATGTTGGTGACGTGGCTCTCTAGAATTGCAAGAAAATAGGCCGGTGGGGATCTCCTATTTAGTTATACTAGGTGAATTCCCCGCGCGTTGCTGCGGGAATTTCAGAAATGAAGAAAGCTTTAAGTATTAAGTAGCAAATTCTTGTGTAAATTAGAAGAGTTCTGTTCATAGATTAAGGTATAATGGTAAAATAAAGTAGGATTACCAACCTGATGGACATACACAATGCCATGCTGTGCCTTGCAGGAGACTATACATATACACTCAGTCAAAATCTCAAAGAGTACACCCGAGGCATCAATAAGAATAAGTAGACGAATAGATTATATATATATTAGCATCTCAAAAGCAAGGTCATATTTTTTTTTGTGAGGAAAAAGCATGGTCATATGGGCTAACAAAGAAAACAAAAGGCAAGAGCTGAGAGAGTGATCAAATTTCACACCCAGATTAATTGAGCCTCGATTATCTCTGTAGTCTTAGTTCTGATGGAAAAGTTTACCTAGCATTGACAAATCAAGCAAAAAATATAAGTCTGTAAGGACTCACGTATTCATCAGATAGCAAAGGACAGAGGTAGTGATTGGCATATTCATCAGATAACGAAGGACAGAGGTAATGACTGGTTGTTGGCTGTCGAACATATTTAAGTTAAACATTACATTGCAAAGCATATCATGAGAAGTACAATGCTAAAACTAACAACCAGCTAGAAACCTAATGACTAACAGTTGTAGTGCTAGACACCTTCTTCACAAAAGAGTGCTGGACACCTAATGACAGAAGAAAGATGCAGCAGGAATGAAAACAAAAGAAGCAGAAGGCTATGATGACAAAGTGAATAGTGACAGTGCCAACAAAGGACAAACGCATAGAGGATAGCGTGATAATCCATGCCTACGTATCGGCTGAAATTAGTAATGGATTGCCTCCTTCCTGCAGAAGAAACAGAGACCTCTCCTTCCTGCATAAGAACAGAGGTACCAAGCTAAGAACACCGGCAGCGTGAGAGAGAGGGTGGGGATCTGAGTTTGTGAACAATCAAACACCAACAGATGGTGATTTACATGAACAATTAGATTAAGGAACCATCGGACAATGAATTGATTTGATGGAAATTGAATTTGAAGGAAGGTGTGGGAACAATGTAGACTGAGGAGCCGTTTCAGATGCATGACGCCATGACCATTGTGCAGTTCTTATATTACTAGCTAGCGTGCCCGTGCGTTGCTACGGAATAACTAAACTTTTGTACTAAAAACACACGGATCGCACGATAACATAACAATACTGTAAAATTAAATATGCACGTTAATCAAAAAGCAAAATTCGTGAAATTAACAGTCACGCACAGCACGGCGTCGCAGACTCACAAACTGTATAGACCTTTCTGCACGACATGGGGGCTGTTGGCGTTCGCATTGCCTTAGGTCATTGCGTTGCAGGTCAGCTCCGCCGCGCGCGTGTCGCCGTCCCCGTCACCTCCGTGGCACATCAGCTAGTGCCGCCGCGCCTCAACCATGCGCGCCGCACACCGCCTTCTCTGTCCGCTGCGTAGGCCACACCTCGCCTAGCTGCGGGCTGAGATCATGTGCCGTTGGATCAAGTTCACAGGGTCCGGATGGTTGCCATCAAATTTGGTTTAGATAAGAATTATATGAGAACAAGTTCCTCTAAAAGAAAATGAGAATAATGTTACCACACAGTAATAATTGGGGAAAATAATATACAGTAAAACATGTATTACAAGACAGGCTTATAGCGCAAGGAGTGAATTACTACAGTGTCAAAACAGATATTAAGGGTAAAATTCAGGTGAATTATTCAGCAATACATACATGACAGGCTTAGATGGCAGGTCGGCATGCCACATCAAACTCATGCCGTAATTTAACTGAAAAACAACATATTCCCAGACGATGAATCAATACAAAGCTCTGAAACCAAAAGCCCACAATTCAGCTGAAACCATGAGGATAGCTACAAGGCCTGTCCTTTAAAAGCATGACGTTAATTAACAACAGAAACATCTGTGATCCTGTATCTGTAATAAAAAAAAGATAGATATCAGTATAATGCAAAGTGTCAAATATGAGGCATATGCAACTGCAATATAGAATAGAGATAATAAGTTTCGAATCTGTTTTGGTACAAACATAAGAAATGATCCATACTTACAGAGGAACTAAAGAAGATACGCTTCAACGACGTGACTTCTGATGAATGACTCATGGTCGGGACCAAGCAGTATGCTATCATTAGGAGAAAAAAACATTTATCTACACTGGAAGAGAAACTTTTACATCACTGTGGTCAGCCTTCAGAGTTCAGACCAACTCCCACCGCTCAGCAAGTAACAACGCCTCAAGTTCTTCTCTCCGTTTCTCCAGCTCCTGAAACACCATAAAGATAAGTATTCAGGCATAAAAAAAAGAAAAAAGAAACACCAACAGAATGAGGAAATGAGGAAAGATGAGCTGGCAGTGATGGTGTACAGAACAAAAATTATGCTTGTACCATTTAGGCTGTACCCTTAACTTCAAAACTAAGTGGAGCGATCTTGGCAATACACTATCCAATAGACAGTTGCCTGGCTATGATCAACAAAGAATAGTCGTATATAGCCTCATTTTCCTTTTTGCAGGCTGAGGCTGCGTATACATTCTTTTACAAAATTCTCAGATGCAATTCTCAGATGCAATACATAGTATTCTAGTAAAACACCACAAAACAGGCGATCAGCTACTTTGAGGGGGAAAAGGGGGCACCATATTTATATAAAACAGGTTTTTATATTTCTAACGGGCTACACTTGGTTTTCAGCTACAGCTATAGATTCTCCTGAACTATCCATGGGAAGCAAAACAAGCAGGACTGCAGGAAAAGAATAATCTTATCACACAGTCACTGAAAGTGGAGTAACTGAAATACTGAAGATCAAACTAAGCCACACTAAGTAAATTTGGGCATAAGTTGCAGAAAGGGTGTCTTACAGACCGAAAGACAATGGGTCAAAACAAAGAAATATCCAATCACTGGATTCCATGCTGTCAGATTTAAAAGAATCAAGTACTTACCTGCAGATCCTTGGCTGCTTGCTCCCGTGATGTCACTCTCTGCTGCCTTGAACGTTTTAGCACACCAATGCACAATATCCCCTACATATATTCAAAGTTTTTCAGTTAACTACATTTGTTAAGATGCAATAAAAGAAGTCAATGTTGACCATTTGTTTCATCACACATTATATGATCATACTGTGGTATGATGAACCTATGATAGACACAGCTGGTAGGGACTTCATGAATAATCATGATAATATTTCGGGGAGTGTTTGTATGAAATTTGTCAGTCTGTGCTACAAGCATTCAACTGGTTCATAATGCTATGCAGCCTATGAAATAAGGTTGGGTAATACCTGTACTACTTTTCCCCAACAAAAATGACTAAAAATTTCAAAATTATAAAGGCAGCAATGTCCTAAGAGCTTTAGTGCTTAGCCATTTTACAGTGTGGTGTCCAAAATTTCAGACCTATTAATGCAGTTACAGTCTTTCAACACATGAACATCCAAAAATCTCTCTTACCGAGATCACATAGATAGCTCCACATGCAAGAAGCATGTAGCTGGCAATCTCCTGGAGCAAAATCAGATCATTCCTTTCAATACTTGGGTATGCCTTCGTCATGACAGCAACACTGCCAGGAACCAAAAATATGGAGATCAACAAAGGAATAGGTATGTGATACAATTCAACACGTGCAAGAACAAGTCTCAGAATTCATGACACTGTTTGCAGGCAAGGAATTTAAAATCTAAAATGCTCATGATCTCAACAGTTATAGTGCAGTTGCATATAATTGACACAAGTACTTGGTGCACGTAATGTGAATGTGAAGAGGTCAATCCGGTTAACACCAGCTGGACAACAAGAGTATTACTCTGAATTTATGGTCCATACACTGAATTGCCAAAATTTTCATCCCAGTATTCTCAAACATCGAACCAAGTGTGCATATGTAACATTATTCGTTCATTTGTAATCACCCAGGTCAAAAACTATGTTATGTTTTCGAAAACCTAGATTAAAAGGAAATACATTTCAGGGTTCAGGCAAAGCTAAGATGATATGGCACATTCAATTAACCAGAAAAGTATTCTCACAACAGTGCACGCTAATATAGATAGGAGAGGTCTGAACACGCGAGGACAACAATGCATCGACAGAAGAATAAAACTGCATGAAATTGAGATTGATATAGCAATTATATGGCATAAGAGAATGTTGAAATACTGTATGAAGGTTGGAATTGCTCATAACTAACATTAACACAGCACTATTATGGCCTTAATACCAAACTAATGTAGGAAGATTATTTACTGTATGAAGGTTGGAATTGCTCATAACTGACATTAACGCAGCACTACTATGGCCTTCATACCAAACTAATGTATGAAGATTATTGTTGCTCATCAAATCTTGGTCCAGATTTATGGAGAAACCAAGTTTTGGGTTGACATTGGAAGCAGATAATTGTTTTATTTCACAAAACAATTATACTGAACAATACAAATCAATGCCTCGTTGTCACATCTGCAACTTTCTCTTATGTCTATTTTCATATTTTATTGTATTATTTGCAAAAAAAGGATAACAAACACTTCCTATATCTGGATGAGCACCAACCATAAGTGGTTTACTCAATTATGCATTCAAATGAATATACACAGATTGATTGCAGAGTTTTGGAAACAAAATTCGAGGAAATAGAAACATATGGTCACAAAGAATACTTACAAGATCTGGAGCATTCCCCGTGCAGGCCAGTATTCAAATATCTGATCGCATAACAATTAAAGGCATCACTAAATCAACGAGGCAGTAAAATCAAGAAAATACTAAGCTAGCCTCACTAACTTGCAGAACCTAAGGACCAAAATGCATTTATGGACTGAAACAGTAAAAGCCGATTATGAAAACATCATAATAGAAGAAACCGGTACCTAATAAACTTATAAATATCTTTCCTGGTAAACACAACAGTTTTTTTTTGATAAATGGTAAGCACAATAGTTGCAGTCTACCAGTACCAAGTGCCCCAACTGACTAAATTGTGTAGCATTGTATACATCACCTAAAGTTTCACAATCAGTCAGATAGCGACCAAGCAGGCTCCAATTGAATAATCACGTCGTGTCGGTAACAACACCACAAGGAATTCGCGGCCTCTCACAATCCAAACCAAGCCAAGGGTAGGTTGTATGGCGGAGATAGAAAGCGGAGCAACCAACCAACCTTCCAGAAGCGGATGATGAACCCCCACTCGGTCTCGAGGACGGCGACGAAGAGCGAGAAGACGACCGCGTAGCACCGGAATATGCCCCCGAATATCTGCGGAGGAGCAATTCAACAAACGAATCAGCAGCCCCCTAGGGCGGGCGTCGGGCGACGACGAGAAGGGGAAAGTCGCACTGGGGCGTGCGGGCCACGCACGTCGGAGCCGGCGCGGAAGGACTGGACGGCGGAGACGACGTTGATTGCGACGCACAGGAGCGCGGTGTCGGGCATCAAGTTGGAGCCATAATAGCTGAACCCTAGATGAAGAACCAAATTGATTTGTAATAACCCAAGATGAAGAACCAAATCGATCTGGGGACATAAGAACCGTAGATGACGAACCAGATCGATTTGCGTATCGGCCTCGCACCTCCCGTTCTCGCACATGGCGGGGAAGCGCCGTCGTCGTGGCCACAGGCCATTGCCGTACCTCCACGCCGCCCTTGCCTGCCCTCCGAGGCGCCTCCGCGCATGTCCCGGCAGCCGCAGCCGCGGCCGCGCGCGACCCCCGGCTGCTCCTCCGTGATCACACTGTAAAAAGAAAGGAAGATGTTGGCAGTACTGACAGAGATAACACTGTATATATCAAATGCCTAATAATGGCCTATAGTTGCAGTAGTGGCACAAGCAAGTACATCAGCTCATTATCTTGGAACTTGAGTGCTCACTGATTTGCAGGCTAAAAATTTTGATAACAACCATGTTAGCATTTTGCGCCCTTTTCATTTTTTTCCTACTAAAGACCGACATTTAATAAATCATGTAATCTTGATTGTTTTGTACTGGTCAATCTGAGATTTCTGAGCTGTATCAAGTTATTCGCACGAAGATAAGCCATGTCACCCAATCCAACTTTATAGAAGTAAACAGGGTAATTCATAAAACGAAATTGGAGCAAGTTCAAGCAACCGAGGCTTTCAGTAGTTAAAATTTTTTTGAGAGAAACTCTGTAGTCGACATCAAATTCGTGTAGCATGTAAATAAAAGAAAAACAAAATAACATCGCAAGATCTAACAAGAGAGAGGTATCCACATTATGCATTAGGAACTGCAGCAGGAGTCCTGCCCCATGGTCAGGTTTATTAGAATTAGACCATACGACCATAGTGGAAGCATTCATTTTTATAGCCTTAACGATACAATAAAAAATCCATAAAACAGTTCTCGAGGGCTTAGAGAAGAGATATGTGACAGCATTTATATGAGTGATCTAATGGCCGGTGCTGCATGCCAGCCGGCACTTGTGCATGAAACTTATCAGTACAGTAACACACTAATAATTACTCAAGTGTTGCTTGTATGTGTAGAACTCCAAGAAAAAAAAAGCAGACATGATTAGAGAATGTCACAAGCATTCTAATTCACTGTATTTGAGTAATTAGTAGTCAGTGAGTTCACTTCAACTATGTATTTCACATTTGCTTACAACTCAAAATTCAGACCTGAGGAAGAAGACTGTATGCTATAGAAATTCTACTTATGCACCAAATGGCTCCAAAATATCAAATTGCAAATTCAGTTGATTGTACCTAGGCAAGTTCAACAGTTTCATTCAAAATGAAATTACAGAAACAAAGGGTTCAGAAGAATGGTTCTTGCTGTCCTACATGTGCAGCACTAATTTGTTTGTTCTCTCTAGACCATTAAAGAAAACCCATCCGAGGATGAGATTGCTGGACTAACAAAAATGTTCAGAACATGATAAATTCTTAAAATGTTTTTGTTTTTCAAGGAAGCTTAAGGCAACTTACTCACACTTCTAAAGTGAAACTAATCAGAGTCAGACATGAATGATTTTCCAATTCCTATGGTCCTGAGATTCAATCAGCCATCGGTTTCCAATGTCAGAGTTTGTTAAATAAGAAACTGCACAGTTGGAAATCAAACTCTTGCCATATAAATTCTTAGCAAGTAGCGAACCCCCCTATTATGAAAAATAAAATTGGTTTCAAAACTAAAGTATTAGGTAACTACACTTAGTAAAAATGTCTGGATCAAAAATGGTATGCACATCAGGAAACATTAGGAAACAAAGAAAATGGAGTCCATCAGTGTAGATAGAGATAAAACTGGCATGACATTAAAAATAGAGCATCATTCTTTCTGAAAACTCATTGGTTTTAGTTAAACAGGAATCTCCTAGAAGGAGGACATGGACATATGCACTAACCAATCAGTATCGTAAATCACACAAGGAAAAAATGGCATAAAAAGGTCACTGGCCTTCCTGCTCTTTCAATGAATGGACACAATCCATTACGAGGAGATGACAAATCAATGCACAGTAATATATCAAGATTGTACATGTAACCATTTTTACTAACCTAGATGTATTATTTTGAACAAACTAGCAGATTTTAATTCAGGTAATAGAAAATAAAATATTAAAGGGAATAAAATAAGCAAAAGCTTTAGAATCTACTGTTCTCAATTGCCGATCTGCCGCTCCAAAAAAATGCGAGGGAGAGAGGATCTGGGGGAGGAGCCATGGACGAAGGAGGAGAAGAAGAGGGTGAGTCACCGTCAAATCCAGTCGCCGAGCTTCACCTCCGCCGCCGCACAGGCACCTAGGGTTTCGTCGAGCAAAGGAGCACAAGCTCCCCAGCGGGAGGAGGCGTTGAGGTGGCTGCACGGAGGATGGGGGAGAGGGAGGGGGCCGTCGAGCCCCTCCTGTGGCGGCACATCGCCCGCAGGGGCGCCGTCGCCTGGCACCTGCCGCCGCCTTGCGCTTGCCGTAGCATCGGGAGGGAAGGGGAGAGAGAGGAAGGGGAGGGAGAAACGGAGGTGAGAGGCCGACGAGGGAGGGAGGAGGAGGAGGAGGAGGAGGAGGAGGGCAGCCGCCGTCGCCGCCGCGCCCGGCTCACGCCCGTCGCCCCTGCTCGCGTCGGGATGGAGAGGGAGAGACCGATGGGGAGAGAGAGAGGAGGGACCGTAGTATATACATCCTGTTTGCGTACGCGCGGAATCGCAAGGGAGGTGCGGACCGATGGAGCGATTGTCGCATGGACGGGAGGGAAGAGCGACAAAAAAAAATCGTACGAAAAAATAATCTTACTTTTATTCTTTTTAGTCGTAGGAGATGAGGGAGGCGGCTGGACATGCATGCAAACTTGAATGAATGCCGCCGGTTTGCCTCCTTTGGCAACGTGGAGGCAGCTACTGCATGTCCGCATCTTTGTATGGATGAAAATCAACGGAAAAAACTTATTGCATGGGTGATCAGTTTTAGATTTTTTTTGAGTGGATGATCAGTTTTTGATGGGTTAGAGAAAATGCTATTGAGGCACATGTGACTCTTGGTCTGGGCTCAGCGAGGTGCTATTGGCAGATAGGAAGGTTAACACACGAACGGTGTGCAGGGATGGATAGTTAAGATCGGACGGCTCAAATAATATTGGTGACGTGGATCAACGTGATTGCAGAGAAATAGAAGTAATTGATTCTTAGTGGGTTCCATCTATAGATGCGTGGGTCAGGAGGAAACGATGACGTGGAGGGCTGTGGAATGAGAAAAATAGGCCAGTGGAGTTTTGCTTTATAAGAGTTTAATATTTTTTTAAAAAGTTATAGAAGATAGTAGCACTGTCATATGGACCCCACCTGACAGAGAGAAACAAAAAAAACGCCGGAGACAGATCAGACTCAGTTGGCCTTGCCCTGCGCGTGGAGACCGACAGATCGGACGCCGGAGACAGAAACACGAGCCAAATCCGACGCCCACAAAAATTGCGTGCCAGCTCGAGACAAAACACTCGGTCCAGACGTAGCAACTCTGTTTGCCTAATATAAAAAAATAAATTTAAAATTGTTGACACGTTAGGTTTCTATAATTCTAAATCTTGAATCTAGGACAATTTTCTTATAAAAGTCAGAACAAATTTCTGGTGAAGTTAGCTCATCTAACTACAACAATAGAGCAAGTCCAACAGCTTAGCTAAAATTAGTAGCCAAATTTCATAATTTAGCCATTTTGTAAAATAGAAAGCTTTAAAAAAAAGGTCTACAACAGTCCTGCTATTTCTCATCTTCAGATAGCTAGCGTCTATGGTTGGCTTTATATGGCTGCTACTTACAAGTTCATTCTTGGGGTACGTCTCATCTCAACAAAGCCCACATGTTACCTAGCATTGTCCAAGACCCTGCCACATAGGAGTACTGCCCTCGACTGGCCAACCCTTTTTTTTATCCAATCATTGGGCACTAAGGTTAAGGGTTTATAGTTCATGTTAATTCCTCGGCTATATATAACACCTTACCTAGCATTGTCCGAGATCCTGCTGCATACTTCCCTCAACTGGCCAACCCTTTTTTTTTACCAACTTGCGCGAAAGTGAAGATAGCCTACAACTACAAGCATAACTCACCGACCACAACTTTTCCCTTGATTCCAAATTTTCCTAGTACTCCCTCCATTGCAAATTATAAATCAAAGTAGTCGTTAATTAAATGTTTCATGTGTCGGTCGTTTATCCTTTTTTTCTCAATCTATATTTGTGTCTAACATCGAAAACTAAAATTTAAAATCGTTGCTACATTAGTCTTTTATAATTAAAAATCATGAATCTAGAATAATTTTCGTGTAAAATCAGAATAATTTTTCTCATTAAGTTAGAATATTTTTAGATGAACCAAAATAGTTTTATCATTTCATGAGAACAATTTTCTCATGAGCACGAATTGCTTTTCTCGCTTTATTTTATTCCTTCTATTTGTAGTATTTGTCAATTAAATATTGTGTGTGTCCATGGTTTATCTTTTTCTTAGTTTTTTTTGTTCAGTTAGATTTAAATTTGGTTGGTATATTTTTATGGTTTTAATTATCAATCTACAACATTTTTCTTGTGAAGTTGGAATAAATTCTTATGAAGTTAGAACATTTTCTCTCTTTTTAACTATCAAACATTTTTTAATGAACCTTTCATTTTTTTAAAAAAAATCATAGTGACCACTATTACACAAATCATTTTGTGAGGCAGTGCCATTTTATTAACCGAGGCGGTCGCAAAAACCAACCGCCTCCGTAAATGCCGACGATTAACTGAGGCAGTCAATTTTATTTACGGAGATGGTCAGAAAGCAACCGCCTCCATAAATCGATTTACGGAGGCGGTCATTTTAAGACATCCGCCTCCAAAAATAATCTATTTTCAGAGGCGGTTGTTTTAAGGCGTCCGTCTTTGTAAATCGATTTTCGGAGGTAGGCAACTGTAAGGCCCGACTCGGTTAATTGTGGCCGAGCCCACCTGGTTAGTGTCAAGTTACGTTAAAGATAACCAATTATCTTAATTCAACATTAAATATTTTATCATAACCGAGCTCATAATCTAGGATAATAATTAAGCAAGATATTCATTTAGAGATAGTTAAACAGGATGGTAGAGGGAGGGGGAGCTAGGACTTGCCTTCGCTGTTGGCTTCTTTC